TGAAAAGAAAAGAAAGAACGAAAGAAAGAAAGAAAGAAAGGAAGAAAGAAAGAAAGAAAAGAAAAGAAAAGAAAAGAAAGAACGAAAGAAAGAAAAGGAAAGATAAGAAAGAAAGAACGAAAATAAGAAATAAAGAAAAGAAAAGAAAGAAAGATAAGAAAGAAATGAAGAAAAGAAAGAAAGAAAGAACGAAAGTAAGAAAGAAAAGAAAAGAAAAGAAAAGAAAAAACGAAAATAAGAAAGAAAAGAAAAGAAAAGAAAAGAAAAGAAAGAACGAAAATAAGAAAGAAAGAAAAAACGAAAATAAGAAAGAAAAGAAAAGAAAAGAAAAGAAAGAACGAAAATAAGAAAGAAAAGAAAGAAAGAAAGAAAGAAAGAAAGAAAGAAAGAAAGAAAGAAAGAATGTCACCGAGTATTTAAACGGCATGTGAATTTGGAAAAAAGCACAGTTGGGACACAGGGAAGCTCCTCCATTTTTGCTTCTGCCGAAATATTTCATTCTGAAAATAATTTATAAAACACTGATTCTATTTCAGTATAACCACTTCTTCTTTTTTTAACAATCATATAAAGGAATTATAAACAAAAACTAAATCTGAATGTCCATCGCGTTCTCTTTATTAAAGTTTTCTCTTGTGTTGTTCAATAAATAAATTAAATTTATCGAAATATTACACAGTTACCATTAAAAAATATGCCTAATAAAAAGACTGGACAAATTCTCTTCTGCTTGTTACGTGCTGTATTCCATTTTTTTTTCTCTTTTATTTCTGAGGTGGTTTTTGATCAGAGGATTGGGGGTGTGTGTGGAGCAGATTCATCTTTTAGACAGCAGATTGAATTCGAATATTAAATGTCATTAAAATATGGTCAACAATTCACCAAAAAAATACAAATAAAATTTAATAAAAATTACCCAAAATTAAAAATAGGAAAACATTTGAAATGATTATATTTTATACAAATATTTCTTTTTTAACTTGGCGTTTAAAATATCGAATTTTTATGGATTTGTTGACTTTATTTTGATGAAATTGCAAAGGAAATTTGGTTGTAGTCACAATCACATTCAAGATATTAATCTCGTGCAAAACTAGGAATCAAATGAGGGACATGTTGCTTTCGGTAGCACCTATAATAATTGGAGCACTATGAACTATTGTAAAAATATTAAAATGAGCTTCGAATAAATGTAGTCTTAAAGAAAGACTGAGGAGACTTAGTTATCACAAATGTAGAATGTACTGGATAATTTGTTGGGGATAATCCTGTAAGATTAAATGAGATGAAAAGAAAATGGTAATCTCTGGCGTGGGAATTTTCAGGAGTTAAAGATAGGAATGGAGATAGAAAATAATGACGTACATTTAGCAAGAAAATATTTTATTGTCTGGACAAACTAAATAGAAACATTTCAAAAGAAGGTGAAGGCATATGTGTATATATGGACAGATAGTTATATAAAAATATATTTCTTAGTTTGGTACAGTTATCAACTTCAGGATTTTTCTGTTGTATTGTGTTCAGTACGACACGTGGTTCGCTGGGGAATAAGAAGTCCCCCTAATAGAAATATGTTTTATCTCTGAGACATCATGGCTGAAAGCGGGAAAATAAAGTTACGGAAAATGCGCCCTTTGCCTTATATATGATGTCTTCAGCAACCATTTTTAACGGAGCTCATATTGCAATCTTTGATGTTATCATTGCATATTTTTTTTTACCAGAGCTCATATTAAAATTTTCGTTGTTATTATCGCTTTTCTTTGGCTCAGAAGATAACTACTGACATCCATTAAATTTTTTACAACGTTTACTCAAGGACACATGGCACAGTGAATAAAGGCGTTAGTTAGATCCAGTGACAGGATCCCAAAGAGTGTGAGTTCGATACCTGGTTAAGGCGGTGAGAACTTGGAGAGGGGAATTAACAGGAGATAACTGACATCCATTAGACATGGCATGTGGAACTAGAACAGTCTACCCTAGTGAGCGAAATAAAGGCTTCAGTTCGACATTCCAACCACCTGAAGAAGGCCAGAGAATACAACAGCTGAAACGTTGTAATAAATATGGTGGCAAAGATGAGGACAATAGTCCGAATAATGTACATAATACCTCATCTCAGAAATATAGACAGATAATTATTGGACAGGTCATTAACAATATTTGTGTGATCGAGCACAGGTCAAAAGGGCACTCAAAGGTGCGAGTGTGGGTTCGAGTGCAAAGACGTGGGGGTAGGCGTTAATTGGGCGTGAACATTTTTAAAAAGGGGGAGGGTTGAAGAAAATGGGGGGTATGGTTTGGTGAATAAGAGGAGAAAGGAGTGGACAAAATAGATTTTGTTTTGTGTGGGCGTTTGTGTGTAGTTCTTTTTTAAGTGTGAAAGAAGTGCGTGTGAATTGGGTGTGTAAATGTAGAAAAAGAGGAAAGGAAAAAAGGGGGATATTTGTGCGATTATCTAAAAAGCGATTAATTAGGGAAGGGGTCAAAAAGGGTTGCAGCCGAGTATATAGGATTGACGCAATTCCCGACATGCTATTCGCATACTTGGAAGAAAAGAGGAAGAGAAAACGCGGGCTGCTCTGTGTGATAGGTTAGAGCGAAATTGAATATGACATTAATAAGTTTAAAAGGCTGTCAATTGAAGCTTGAACACCCTCATTTTAATACCGGTATTGACGTGCCTTTGCGTGACATCTGTCCTTCTTTACGGCGGCAAATTTTGAACAATCTTCTCAAAGATGAAGAAGAGACTCTAGGCGACGGAGATATGGTTCTACAGAAGGATGCTAAGGATATCATGGAACGAGCGTGTGAGCAAGGATAAGGTCTTCCAGAAGATGCAAACAAGGAGAAGGTTTATACTTAACATCAGGAAGAGACAGCTTAAGTTCTTAGGACACGTAATGAGGAAGGAGTGCTTGGAGAATCTGATACTCACCGGTCGAATAAAGGGAAAGAGAGACGAGGGAAAACAACGCATGACATACCTATCGGCCTTAAGCAAGTGGATGACAGTTCGTGGTCTGGGGAAGGTGGCAGAGGGAAGGAACTTGTTGAGAGCTACAAGGAATAGAGGGAAATGGAGAGCCATGATCGCCTAAATCCTGAAAAGACAGGGCACATAGAAAGAAAAGAATTGACGTGCTTTGATTTTTCCTTGGGTAGAAGTGTGATGGTTTGATTCGTATTGAGCAGGTATGTGAATTTGTAAGTTAATTGGAGAAAACATTTCATAGCCCATCCCCGATTAGCACCATTTCCGGTCTCGCGCGTGCATCCAACACCTCATCAGTCCCCTTTGTAATTGTCCATCTGGCCCACAATCATGCTGCATTCAGAAATGACCTCGTTACCTCAACTACCCACCTTATTAGGGACGAAGAGTTTTAACGTTTTTTTAACGTTTTCCCCGAATATCCGCAAAGAAAATCAATTAGAAGCGAGCTGAATACTTTTTATTGGACCGTTGTTAATGCTTAGGCCAAATTAGGAGCAAATCAGCCGAAAACTACCAGATCAATGAACCAAAAAGGGATTTTAAAAACTGTTTTTTACGTTTTGCAAGTACGCACAGACGCTCTTCATAGAGCATTGACTGTTGTTCGTGATGACAGTCGTCTTTGAGTATAGAATCCAGAGGTTAGCAGTGAATATTTCGAAGACAGTATAGGAAAGCGTTGTTCAGGTTAGCAGTGGATATTTTGGTAAAAGTAGCAGAGCGTAGTTCGTCGTTCTGTTTCTCTTCGCCTGACAATCTGGACTGGACATTCGGATAGAGTAAACAAAATGGCCGCCTTTATACACGACGGATTGAATATTCTACGTCTTCTGATTGGTTAACCTTCTATTGGTGGACTATAAAGTGAGTCAAGTCATTTGGATTGGCTCATTAGTACATAGACATAAACAAAAAACTGCAACATTGACCACTTGTTAAACTCCCCGCGAGAACAGCTATGTATTTTTAAAAAAAACATTTACGTTGAAATCAGTTAAAGCAAGCAAAAGTTGAGCTATGTGGAATTTTTAGAAGTTTTAAAATTTTTATTTTTTTTTAAATTTGAGTTTTTTATTAAATTCAATTTTAAATTTTTTTAGGGTTTTTGACCAGTTTTAGGCGAAATGACAGTTAAAAGGTCAAAAGGTCAAATATAGTGCGCATCTTTTTCGCCCATTTTGAGCAAAATCGGACGTTCCTGGAAAATCTTTTCGCGCGTGAAGCTTTTGCCTTTATTGTTGCAATAAGTGGCGGTCTCTTCAGTTTTATCGATTTTTCACCTGGGCGGGAGGCATCCGTGAACGTCGTTAATGCGATGTTGGACTGTCAAGGTAATTTTGCCACTTATTAAAAAAAAGTTCATGAAAATCAGATGAAAAAAAGCGGAAACGCACACACACAGACAGACATTTTTAGTTTTATAGATAGAGATAAAGATACATTATATATGACGAGCTATGATCACCTACCTACATACCTTAAGGGAGAAAGGCTGAGCTGAATCCAAAAACCGTACAGAAAGCAACGGTAAATCACTCAACTACGTGTCCCAGAAATTCGTGCCAATTTACAGATAATAAAGAAAAGGAAGCTGTGGAGATCCATATCGCTTACCTACATACCTTAAGGGAGAAAGGCTGAAGTGAAGCCAAAATCCGGAGAAAACAACAGTAAATCACTCAATCACGTATCTAAAAAATTTGTGTCAATTTACAGATAACAGAGGAAAGGAAGCCGTGGAGATCCATGATCGCTTACCTACATACCATATGGGAGAAAGGCTGAAATGAAGCCACAGACCTCGGAGAAAACAACAGTAAATCGCTCCACTACGTGTCCCAAAAATTCGTGTCAACTTAAAGATAATAAAGAAAAGGAAGCTGTGGAGATCCATGATCGCCTCCTTCATGATGTCTTCTAAAAATTTTGTTATTTTGCGACACCAAAAATGAACTTTTTCTCATTATTATTTAGTGTCAGAAAAAGAGCCAAGATGGTGACTCCATTAGTTTTAATTCGATTAGAAAGTGTTTCTTTCTGATCAAGTGCCGAAACATTGTGTGATAGAAAAGTGACAACAACATATGACATAATCGGCAAAGATCAGCCATCATGTGTTTTTAACATGCTAAGCCGCTTCTGAGTGAAAGAAAGAAAAATCAAGTAATCTATCTATCTCCGCCTTTTCATATCTATCTCTTTTCCCTATCTATCTATCTATTAGTCTCTTCATATCTAACTATCTATCTATCTATCTATCTATCTATCTATCTATCTATCTATTAGTCTCTTCATATCTATCTATCTATCTATCTATCTATCTATCTATCTCCCTTTTCACATCTGTCTATTATCTCTTTATCTCTGTCTTTTCACATCTATCTCTCTATTTCCCTCTCTTTTCCTATCTATCTATCTATCTATCTATGTCTGCCTTGTTACATCTATCTATCTATCTATCTATCTATCTATCTATCTATCTATCTATCTATCTATCTATCTATCTATGTCTGCCTTGTTACATCTATCTATATCTATCTATCTATGTCTGCCTTGTTACATCTATCTATCTATCTATCTATCTATCTATCTATCTATCTATCTATGTCTGCCTTGTTACATCTATCTATCTATCTATCTATCTATCTATCTATCTATCTATGTCTGCCTTGTTACATCTATCTATCTATGTCTGCCTTGTTACATCTATCTATCTATCGATCTAGCAAGCTAGCTAAATTTGTTCATGTCTATTTCCGATAGTTCCGAGTCATTTCATACCTACATTTCGTCTGACATATGTATGTATGTATGCATATATGGTCTACTGATATTAAACCTATGTAACTGTAACAGTTTCAATCGAGTTGAAACCCATTTTTTTTTTGTAGACTTAGAAGCGTTATTTTTTTTATTTAGTTAAGACGTCTCCCACTTGATCTCTTCTCCGTTCGCCAGTCACAGCGACGCCGAACGAAATAACTGACGATGTCTTAAAGTGAAGGGGGATGGCGATCGATTTTCCCAAGGACACTTTCAAAAATTTTATTACGCGAATGAAACATTGATGGAGATACATTAACAGAATGGTGTAATTCTTCAAGTTGCCGCCAAATTTGTTTTTCTTCACCTATTCTAGCAGACAGTATTTAAAGAACTTTTTTGAGAAAAAGTTATTTAATGTGAATGTTTTACATATTCCAGGATATAAAATGGTGCAAAACTGTTTTATCATTTCAGCGAACACTCGTTGCCACTTTTGTGATGTCAACGAATACTCGTTGTCACTTTCGTAATGCTCGTTGTAGTAGAGACTTTGTAATCGCAGATACAACTATAGTACCGCCGTTGAACAATACTGATGTCCGACGCCTTCGAATATCGCTCGCACTAATAGTACTTGCTTAATAATACTCGCTCGAAAAGTAAATCCCGAAAAGTGATTCAAATAAGGAGATACTCACTAACCACCTCACGCTACCGGATGCGGCACAAGGCCAGATTTTTGTGGGGTAACCGACCCCATATGCCCGGCCAAATCTTTTCCGTAGACCCTGTAAAAAACGGGTCGGATAGCTGTCTCCCGGGACGAGATTCTATCCTTCTGGGAACCCTATCTGCCCGGAGTCAGAGAGGTTGACAATCACACTTCCGAAGTAATCCGGCGATATTCACCTACCGAACCCACGCGGCCGGATGCAGCACAAGGCGAAATTTATTGTGAGACATCCGAGCCCGTAGGCCCGGTCAAAAATTTCCCGTAGACTCCCATAAAAAACGGGGTCGGGTCGCAGTCTGCCACCCCCAGACGAGACTCTGCCCTTCGGCACAGCCTCTTCTGGATTCCTCTCTGCTCGCAGGCAGAGAGTTTGACAAGCATACTTCCGAAGTAATCCGGAGAGTGATATATTCACCTACCGTCTCACGCGGTCGGATGCGGCACAAAGCAAAGTTTATTGTGGGTATTCGTGCCCGTAGCCTCGGTCAAAAATTTCCCGCTTTTACGGAGTCCACGGGGAATTTTTGGCCTAGTTGATTAAAGTATTAGTTTGTGAATTTGATGATATATTATATTCAATACCTGAGCCAGTGGAAAGTGAGCAAACTCAACTGAGTACTATAAATTGAGATATTCATAGACATCAACTTCTCGAGAGCACCCCTCTGCGGCTGCTTGGTCTCACATTGTCTGCTGACCTAAGATGGAAAAAATATATTGAGTCTATTGCTTCGTCCACCGCAAGAAAAGTTGGCTCCCTGTGCCGCGCCAGGAAATTTTTCTCCCCGGAATCGATCCTTCAAATCTACAAATCAACCATTCGCCCTTGCATGGAGTATTGCTGCTATATATGGTCTGGACCACCTTCTGTTTGACTCAAGGTTCTTGATAAGATCCAGAGACGGATATGTAATGTAATTGGCCCTGTTCTGGCATCTCATCTGCAGTCGCTCTCACACATACGTGCCGTCGCCTCCCTCTGTCTGTTTTACAAATACTTTCATGGTAATTGCTCCGATGAGCTGCTTTCGCTGGTTCCCAGACTTCGCGAATTCAAGCGACCTACGAGGCTGTCTGTTACGGTTTTTTTGGTATATATGGCATATGACTAGTGAGCGAGTCAGAATGACTTATTTCCCTTTATAGTCGACCAATAGTAGGTTGACCAATCAGAAGCCGACCAACACTGTATTCATAGTGTATAAAGGCGGCCATCTTGTCTCCTCCTACCAGAAGGACAAAAGGCGACCAGGAGAAGGATGAACTACACTCTGCTGTGATATCCACTGCTAACCTTCACTACGCTTTCCTACTGTCTCTGAAATATTCACTGCCAACCTTTGGATGCGATACTCGAGGATCGACCGTCATGAAAATGTCTAACACTGTCATCCCACTCTCACCCTTTCACTGTCGAAACTACTAAATGTAGCCGTCTCTTCTACTCGAATAGCTTCATATCTCGCACCACTCGGCCGTGTAACTTCCTTCCCTATTCCAGTTTCCCTGAGAGCTAAAATCTCCAACTGTTCAAATGTAACGTCAATCAACATCCCCAGATGCCTTTCTCTTCATCCTTTCCTCTATCACTCCTATCTGCTCTTGCTCCAAATCCCCTGTAACCCCTTGCGTGCTAGTCGCTTTCCGCCTTGCTTGGGGTGAAACGCTTTAAAAAATAGAAGCAGAGAAAGAAAACGAAAAATATTACTTTTGTGAGGAATAGTACTTACCTATGAATCGATATGGCTTTCCCAGCGGACTGTAATATAGCAACTTGATCTATTCTCTATCTTTGTCTTCATCCTTTTCTCTATCACTCCTATTTGGACTCCAATTATCTGTAAACCTCTTGCGTGCTAGTGGCTTCCAGCCTTGCTTGAGGTGAAATGCTTAAAAAAAAGCAAAAACAACAACAAAAAACATAATCAGTAGAACAAGAACAATCTACATTCACAGATTTAATAAAGTGTTCCGTTTTATCACTTTCCCAAGGTAAGAAATCTAACATGGCTTCCATTTGCACGATTTTCGAATTAACACTGTTTCTAAATCAATAGCGAATTATAAATAACACAGATTTAATGTCGATTAATCCAGATAATATTTTCAAATATCGCGTACAAAAATTGTTTCTTTTTAGCTGTAATTTTAAACGTCAACGATTCTTGATCGTAGATAATACATTGTATAAACATAAAAGGAAATTATCGTAATAAAATTTTATACAATGTAACGGAAATTTGAGAAATATAGAATATTGACAATGGTATAAAGCAAGGTTGGCCAAATCGTGGCTGGCGGATCATATGTGGCTCTTTGACATTTAATATGCGGCTCGTAGAAATATGTTAATTGAGCTCCTTTTCTCATAATAAAAGGTAAAGAAGAAACAAATTCAAGCTTTATAATTATTTACTGGGTATGAACTGTGACCTCCATTAGATTAAAATGTAAGTTTAATGTTAATCTGCATGTAAATAAATAATTTCATAGTAATTATTCTCATGAAATTTGCCCTATGGTACATAGATTTTATGAATTTAAGATTGGCAGCAATGTCTCATGTTCAGTAGAAATGGTTGTATGTAATTGTAAATTCTTCGCTAACATTTCTTCTGTCGCAATTCTCGTTTGTGGAACTCTCTTATGGCTTCTTGCATTCTAGTTAACTTTAATCTTTCAAAAATTTAAGTCAATGTTAATTAGCATCTTCTGTCGTCTTAATTTCTGTACGTTTATTATTCTCTCTCCCTTATAGTGTTTCTTTCTCATATTCTCTAACACTCAGTAAGGCCTCGCGTCTTAGTGGCTTTCTTGCCTTGCTTTGTGTGAAATGATAATACAAGTTAAATTTTAGCAGTCAATTCTCGCATATGGCGAAGCATGATGCGGAAACCAGGGAATATAGTACATGATGCAGGCCACTCACAAAGGCGAAGAATGGAGCAGTATAGTCTTTCTCTCCTTTCTATCGAAAATTATACACCCGCCACCAATCTTTGAATTTGACACGAACTAATTTTAATGTGGGAAAATGCACTTCTACCAACAGGCCACATTTCGGAGTTGATATCTCATTAGTAATAACCTGGCGACGAGTCTGCTATGATGACCGTTGGTTTTTAAAAAAGAAAATAATAAAACCTACAAATAATGAGATCTGCAAACTCATTTGTAAATCACTTTAGTGCTTCGTTTCGTTTTAGCAAATTCATCAATCACATTGCTATATAATGTATAAAACGTAGAAAGATTGTATTGAATCAATTGTCAGGTCTCCAGCTAAAAAGAGGTGCTTCACTGTGTCATGCAAGACAATTTTATCTCTTTACACACACACATTATATATATATATATATATATATATATATATATATATATATATATATAATAATGTTAGTGGTCAATATACATATATATGGACATTGAATTCTACCTGGATTATATATTCTTGGGAATATATATATATATATATATATATATATATATATATATATATATATATATATATATATATTAGAAAAGAAAGAAATACGGATTACTAACACAAAAAAGAGAATCTCATATCGAGAATGTTTAATATCGAAAAACATAAAGGAGAAAAATTGTTTATTTTTAATAATATGTGAAAATCTCCACTCTTTACCTGATGACGGTCATAAGACAGGAAACACGTGTAGTAAAAAAATTATGGAAAATAAAGCATAATATTTAAAAAAAAAATCTACATTAGAACCAAAAACTTTTGCGGCATCTCTCTTTTAACATATGTAAATTCGTAAATACATACATGCATATATATATATATATATATATATATATATATATATATATATATGTAAATTCTCAAGAGGATATAATCCAGGTAGAACTCAATTTCCAGGATCTGGATTTTAAGTTTAGATCATTTTTTTTTTTCATTTTTTATTGTGCGTAGTGTCACCATAAATGCATCCACACTTTTCCGGTGTATGTTTTTCAATTTTAATTTTATGTCAGCGAATCGGTAGTGATTTATGCATCTGAAAAGAATTCCTATTTATCTGTATCTCACTCATTTAAACAGGTAATTAACTCCTCTCTTTAAAACTTCTCTCTGTTAAATTTTAATCCCCACCTTCACCTTTAGGCTTTCCTGATCTTCTTTCTTCTGTTACACCCTCTCTCTAGAGCTTTCATACATTTCCCTCTCACACTTGTTTCCCACCCCCACACATACACTCTCAC